TTCCATTTCAGTAGTAGTATACATATATCACAAAGATTTCACAGTTGATTTCAGCGCATAAGAGCAAAAGAATCTCTGAATTGGACTCAATACAACAGAAGCGAATGTTCTGGCGGAAATGGGTTCCGCATGAGGACGCGATCAGCGTCTCCGGAATGGCAGTGCATAATCGTGCGCGTAAACCAAAAACTGACTCGAAATACAAATTATCCTCCGTGCAGTCAGATCAATCACAATTACCTTTGAGCCGTTGGATTGGTAGTTTCATGACGCGTTACAAACGATCACCAGTCCATTCAAAAAGCTCTTACACGCTCAAGGTCGCAGATGATGAGCTCAGTCCATTCGGTCTCATCGCCAAATCACTTCTGAAATTGGTACACACTATGAAGGGGAAACCAACATCGAAAACGTATGTTCCCTTGTAATTTGCTGCTCTTTGAAACGATGAACTGTTGAAGTTTTTGGATTCTGAGACAATTGGTTTGATAATATTGACAAGAACTTTCTTTTTTAGAAACATTCCGATCCGAGCTGAACATCTAGTAGGTGTTTGAGGTTACACATGATGAGTGAGTAGAGCTGAAAAGAATTTGAGTGATTTTGGAAGTAACGAAAATTCAGATTCGAAGCAGTGCTGGATGATGTTCGAAGAGAGCATGAAACAGTCATGAAGAAAAAAGCTGAAAATGATTTCCTCAAAAACCAAATGAACAAAATATATGGTCCAAACATCGGTATGAAGAAGGGTGTCCCAACGAAATCATTTTTCACTAAGGTATGTACGTGACAGGTTTCAGGGTATTACCATCATCAAAAGAGCAAATATTAAAACACAACCTCACTGGAATATTCAGATATTTTTGGAGATCAGAATAATTCCTCCGAATACCTTGTTCATAGCAACTGTCTGAAAACATGGAATAGCTTTTCAGATGGAGAAAGTGTGGAAACTGCTGCAAATTTTAAATCCTCAGTGATGATTTTTAGGAAATAATCTGAATCTCGATATGTACCTTCTAGTTGACCGTGAATTTCGTGAAACTTTGGTAAACAATCGAGCTGAACTTCTGATTTCGTTCTTAAATTCTCGAAGTCATTGACGGATGCATCAGTATTTTCTGAAATGTTGTTTTCTAGAATCGTCAGGCTTTATGTCCTTCGGTTAACTGTGGAAAGAGATGAGGTAAGATTCATATCAAAACTGGATCAAAGGATGCGGTGAAAATAAAAATGATTTCGAACGGATTAATACTACTTAAAGAATAAGTGGTTATAATTTTTAAAAAATTTTAAGGGAGACAAACTGGCGATGAATGGCTTGCTCGATGTGGATCAAACTGAAGATGACCAATCAACAGCAGATCCGAATCAGGAAATAATCGCTGAACAAACGAAATTTATCCGTCAAGTCGTTGAACTTGTGAAAACAATGGGAATTGATAATGATACAGATGTTGGCCAACTCACACTGTTTTCTCCACGAATCCTATCGATAACACCCGAAGAAGCACGAACAAAGACGGTGTGCAATCATCAGATACAGCTCAATGACTTTACCAATAATCCCATAATATCGCGCAATATTCCCAAAATTTGCTATTCGAAAACTTTCTTTGCTAAAAAATTGACACTTCTTCAACGATTCAGTTCAGTTAACCGTTGCAATGAATGCCATCCATTCTCGGACGGCTGATTCACTTAATTCAAGTTCGTCAGCGTTATTGCGAATGAATTGAGCGCATGAAAAACCAAATAGCACATTATGTCATTCGATGTTGGCGCAAAAGTAAATAAGCAGTAGGTATGTGTTGCAGATGAATCTGTTTTCACCATCGATATTCAGTCTTCACGATCAAGGTGACGGGCTTGAGGCGCTTCTGAGCGTTCCGAAGGCGGTAAAAACCATTCAAGATCCTGACTACAGGCAATGGATGAACTTGATTTTGGAAGCGTCTGGAGTACCTGATGTTATTGAAGAGACACACGTACGTGTTATAGTGCAATGAAGCACAATGCTCGATATTGAGCTACTGAGCCATAAAGCTCGAAGTTCTTTTTTTTTTTTAATCTGCTCCATCATCTGAGTTTCCTTTACTTCACATTTTTGAAGGGCTTCAGAAGGCATTTGTTATGTGCCTGCATTTTTTGAGAACAGTTGTTTGGGAGAAAATTTCTTACTGAGAGTGATCGTAAAGTGAATAAAAAATTAAGCTGCTCGTTTTGAGTGG